CTTTTCGCGTGCGTCGCCTGTCAGCTGGTGCATAAAAAAATAAAATTATGTGAAAGCATGTTTCCTTTTTAACCAAATGCGGGCAAGAAATATCTTTTTTCATGCAATTATTGTTAATTTAGTGGCCTAAGTTTTTTTCGTACTTTCGTCGTACTAAAAGATCTATCATTTTATGGTTATTGAAATGATTTTCTAAGTTTTGGAAGTTGCGGGTTTTAAAGAATTTTTATCCGTGCCGCTCTCAAATTTTTAAAAACATTCCCGTTGTCCCTATCCCGTTCATGATAAAATTTGTACCGTGGGTCCCGCGGACCGCGCACCCATCTCCACATTAAATTGCTATTTAATAGGATTTGGTTTGGTTGCCCGAAAACTTATGAAAATATACATAAAGTTTTTTCTTTTTTCACCACTTGTCCCCCATTGGCAAATCTCTGGTTGACTAAATTCAAAAAATGAAGGTGTGTAACAGAAAGAAAATTTGCAAAATAAGAAGGTATCTAACCATGCACTTACGTGCCCAATATTTTCTTGAACTCACCTCCTCCGTACCAACGACAGTCGGGTCTACGTATCCAGAACAACCTAGATTTATGTATATACTAGTGTTCGCCCAGCGGTTGAAATTCAACCGATAAAATTAAGGATAGTTTATGTAAGTTGAATGAGCTAAAATAACATTAGTTGGAATGGGTTAAGTGGAGGGGAGTTTAGCTTAGTACTTGGCATAACATAACATAACCATAACATGAGAATAAATAACATAACATATGAAGCATAACACACCACAATATAACATCGCACACTCTTCAGTTGTATTTCCTTTTTATCCCTTTTTTCACCTCTATCTAAATCTTATTTATTTTGGTTCATTTTATGCCAAATGATGTTGCCTTTGATGCCACATCAAGTGATATCATGTCATGTGGTGAAATTGGGTGTGGTGATCTGCGGTGTGGTGGAATTGGGTGTAGGAGTTACGGTGTGGTGAATTTAGGTGTGGTGGATTCAGGTGTGGTGAGTTAAGTTATGGTGAGAAAGTTGAGGTGTGGTGAGTTGAGGTGAGTTAAGGTGTGGTGAGAAAGTTGAGGTGTGGTGAATTAAGGGTGGTGGATTTAGGTGTGGTGGATTTAGGTGCGGGGGTTAAGGTGTGGCGAGTTGAGGTGTGGTGAATTTAGGTGTGGGGAGTTAAAGTGTGGTGAATTAATGTGTGGTGAGCTCAGGTGGAGTAAGTTTTTAAGTTAAGATGAGTTAAAGCTAAGGGGTTATGATCTTTATCCTTATCTTCATCTTCATCTTCATCTTCATCTTCATCTTCATCTTCATCTT